AACCTCATCATGTTTGTTCGGAAGGCAGCTGTCTTGTAGCCGAGTCCAACCCTTTCAACAGAATAGAGGCGTCCGGAGGTTGTAAACCCAAGTCACTAGCCCTCTTCAGCCACCGCGACCATTTGCGTAAAACCTCCACCAATTCCATTGCTGATCCACCACCATTCCCTGGTGACTCAAGGGCCTTTAGAACTTGTTGGCGCTCAACCGAACTCCCTGGCCTGTATATCGTCAATATGCGAGCCAATATGGAAAGCGTTGTACTCAACCTGTTTGCAAGCAACTCCGACTTGATGTTCTCTGGGACCGCCTGGAGGAGCATGGTTGCTGCACGCTTGTCCACCCTGCTCCATCTCGGATCTGCAAGTGTTGGTACTGCAAACTCCTCTGCTCGCAACTGGACCTTCTTCACCGCCGTAGAGGAGAGGAACACCTTATAGTACTCCTCGAGACTCTGGATAACACAGCCCCACCAAGTACTCGAACCATCGGTGAGGTCCCCCATGGGACCCGCCAGCCCGTGCAACCAGTCCCCAACATTTATCGCAGCAAACTCATCTGCATCTGGAAGCTTCGGCAATTCGCTTCCAGATACACCGGGGCGTATCGCCTCAGGACGGCTCGTCTGGAGACCAACCTGGATAGCCATCGCCTGCTGCAACTGCGACATACCTTTCAACAGCGCCTCCATGGGTGATGCGCTATTGCCTCCCGCGACATCTCCAGCAGTGACTGCCTCTGCTCTCTTGCCCTCATTCTGGACCGCATTCTGTATCCCCGACCTCGTTCCCAAGGGATTCCACGTAGACGGACCAGAGGCACTTGGTACATACTGCGACTCATAAGGACCAGAGGCACTTGGTACATACTGCATATTGTAAATACGACCCCCTTCACGGTTGTGTTCTGAAAGTCCTGCTGGATTGCCGCTGCTGGGTACTCGAACTTCCCCTTGAACATCATCACCTTCGCTAAACCAAACTTTCCCCCGAGGCTCACATCCACGCTCTGGAAGTCCCGAAAGATTGCTCCCTAAGCCGCGCACGTTCTTGCCCCGCAAGCCCTCAACCTCACGCTGTAGCACCTGCTTCATTGAGGCACCTCCGTGGTCGAAGAACTCCATGCTTGCCCCCTCACTAGTTCCATAGTTACGTCCCGTTGGTCCCGCAGAATTACCTTCAAAGCCTCCATGTAGACCGGCCTCGTCACCAGGCCCTCTTCCATCATGACCTGAAGGTTCAACGGGATTGCCGCTGGGTACCTGAACATGACTAGATAGTCCGGCAAGACCCCCTTGTTCACGGTTGTGTTCTGAAAGTCCTGTTGGATTGCCGCTGCTGCCTGGTACTCGAACTTCTCCTGGACCAAGGCCCGGTGGGGGTTGAACACCACCGTAAACTGTAGCCATATGCTCCACTGCTCTGACACCACCACCGCCCGACCTGACTGAAGCCTTCACCTTCTCCAGCTCTTGTCGCAAGCGCTGATTTTCGTCCACCAGCTGCCGTTGGCTCGTCATTGCCGCTTCCACCTGTCTACGCACTTCCAACTCCAGCTGTTCCTTAGAGTACGACCCAGAAGTCTCCGAACTCGCACCCCCAGTTGTAGTTGCCACTGCGCCATACAGCTGTGGAGCCTGCACTTCAAGCTCGCGAAAACGTCGAACCTGTCCACCCGTGAAAAGTGGCTCATTCTCACCTTGGTTGGCCGTAGTTGTGGTCCAGGCCCTGGTAGGTGACCAAGATGTCTCTTCCACCACCGTAGTCGCCTCCCCGGTAGGCCGCGTGTGAGCAGTCGCTCTCCTTTGAACATACTCACCCAATCTGCCAAACCACCTCATAGCTGCAGCACCATGTTGTACGAAACTCATCCCCGCTGTACTTGTAACTTCATTGCCTTCCCGCGCTCCAGTCGGGGTGGGAAATGGCGAAGGAGCCCACAGCCCCGCAGCTGGTGTTGCCCTCACTGGCGTCGTCAAAGTAGAATCACCAACAGCCGCATGCGGTAACAGTGGTCTATCGTCACTCCCTTCTCGCACAACTGCCTCCTGCTGAACAGCCTGAGTATCTCTGCTAGCTCTTACATCCCGAGAACCATCAGCTTGAGGCGCCAAGTCATCACGAGTTGACTCCCCTTGCATCGCTGCACCCAGTGCCTGCTCAAACGCCGCGTCGTTGCTAGAAGCAGCCACGCCACGTTCACTTGCAGGAATACCGTTGGGTAGCGCAGTCGAAGTTCCAGGTCCCTGTGCAGGCACGCCCCTTGGGCTCATAACCTGTTGATTCAACTCGGGCTGGCTAGCTGGCGTGTTCATCGTATCTCGTTCTTCAGAATCGTCTACAGACAAATCCATGGGCGCTTACGACCCTTGACATTGCCCTAACCGACTCCTTTTCGCACTTGAGCCATTCGCCCACCAGTCCATTCGTCTGCACACAAGAGCTTCTTAAAGCATGGCCGATCCTCTGCACTCCTCCTCTTCTGATGAGCCTTTACGCTCAAGCAGGAGTCACCTGAAATAGAGGTCGGTCCCGATCGCAATATTGGCAAACTTGATACACCTTTGGAGGGTGAGTAGCGTTCCGCAACCCGTGACAATGAGCGCTAAGATGGACTCTATCACCGTAGCTGGTGACATAGTAGGGTCCTTCGAACCCCCATAGACGTTCTGTTCCGATCATCGTCCCTTCATTTGTCTGCGTACCTCTTGTCACCGTACGAACTGTACAAGACGCTCTCACATCGACCTCCCTTGGCATTGACATTCCCGCATCTGAAGGCCTTCGTGTACTCGTGGGTGTTTCGCAAGTTGCCGTAGGCATCGCACTGGGCCTCGTAGGTGTAGAACTGTTCCTTGCTCGCATAGAACTGTTCCTCGTAGGCGTAGACGTTGGCCATGTAGAGCTCGCTGCTCCATCAAAAGGGCTCATCGGTGCCTGCTGTCTTTGAACTTCCTCCTGAACCGCAGCCTGAGCCCGGCTCCGGAGACGCTCCAGCTTCTTCTTCTTTCGTTGGCACCCCGTCCATTGCCTCTGAACCCACTTCCATATCTTTTTCACCCCTTCCCAGACTGCAACACTGGCAACAATGCACACAATGATCACGCAGTAGAACTCAATGGAACCATCCAGCTGTAAATCATCCTTCGCTGCACCAGCACCACGAATAAGCAACAAGCACACCACCACGAATAAAAGCACTCCTCCTGAGGTGGATGCCCTCAAAGCCCTCAAAGCCACGTTTGTTGCTTCTGCACTATATGGAATGATTCCCCACAGCCCAAGTAGTTCTCAGAACTTCGGCAAGTCGAATCCTTTTGTACCTATGTCCGCCTTCTGCATGGTGCCCGGTACATGGGAAATCACGAGGCGTTGTGCAGCAACTTCTTGCCTTAAGAACCTCGCCCTCACCCTCAAGTGCCTTGTCTTCCACGTGCCCGGCGCTTCTGAGGCTAGTCCTTGGGCAGCGGAATTATCAATCCTCAAATGCATCACAGGGTTCGCACAAAGTTCCGCAACCATGGCAGCAACGCCCAACCCCAGTTGTACAGCAGCTACTCCCTCGTATAACTCTGCCTCGGCAACCGAGAGGGTAATTATAGGTTGCCTCGACGCTCGCCATGAAACCGGCATCCCGCCGACCTGTGCCATGACACATCCGAAACTCCGGCCCCCGCCAGGGGCAAAACTTGCGTCGCTGTAAACTACCAACAGCGGGTCCTCGCCGTTGGCCTGGTACAAGAGTACATAGTCCGCCGTCTTGGACAGGTACTGCATGACTCTTTTGCTGATTTCCAAAGCGCGCAACGGCTTCTTCAAAGCCTTGGAAGCCATGCAAGCCACCGAATGAGCCAGCTCCGGCCGGCTCCGCGTAGACAACCACAGAGCCTCTCCTGTAGCCTTTTGTGCCATACGCACCGTAGCTTCTTCAGGCTCTGCGTTCTCATCCTCTGTATCCTCATCTTGTAGCCATTCTCGGTTGCATGGAACTGTTAGTGGATCACCGGGTCGTTCTTCCACTCCATGTTGTCGTAGTAGATCCCGTACATACCCGGCTTGAGACACATGAATACCTCCTCCTTGCAACCTCAATTCCACCCCAAGGAAACGTAGAGGACCATCTGCAAGCATCTCCAAGGCTGAACACTTCCATTCCGCTGTAAGCCACTTGTATATACTTCTAATGACGCCCGGTTCCGACAATACAAGAATGTCGTCCACATAGATCAACATCAATCCTATAGTTTCAACTGGCTCACCCTCAACACATACTCGCCACAAGTTCTCGTCGGTGTCCAAGTTGTAGAGAACCAGCGTCTTGTCACCATAGGGAATTCTTGCATTCATCAACCGGTCGTTGCGGAACAAACTCCAGAGCCTTGGTGCCTCTCGTAGTCCATACAACACCCTTTCAATCTTCCAAGTTTCCCCCGGCTTTGCTGCACCAGCCATAACCACCACCGATGGAGGACTCACACCATACAGCAACTCCTCTGGCATAGGCGCCAGTGTAAAAGCGTTGGAAATGTCCGTGCATCCAGCCGTCCAAGCCCTCAGGATAGCGTAGGCAATGCTCACTCGCAATGTATCCGCCGAGGTACCGCTCGCGTAAACATTGCCCTGTCCATGTGGCAAGAAATTCCCACATACCACCACACGACACTTCCTCCGGAACAACTCCTTCTTTTCTTGCCCACCACCTGCCTCCGCGGGAGGCTTTGCTGTGAATACAGCTTTGCCTGGAAGCACCTTGAGGCCACACTTTTTGAGCTCCCGGGTCTGCTCCGCCGACAACGGTCTTATAGTCCCGCTTCCAATCAGCGCGTCCACTTCTTTGTGTATAGCAGCAACCCACTTACACAAGTGTTTCCTGACCTCCTGTAACGATACATTGTGAACAACCTCGAGAGGAGCTTGTAGTGATTGAAGTAGTTGTTCTACCTCATAATCCTGAGCCTCGCCTGGCGAAATCTTCATCATCTTCTTGATCGTCTCAACTTCACACACATGAAGTTCCCGTTCACAAACTTCCCGAGCATATTCCAAGCGTCTGATGTACTCGCAATCTCCAGATAGTTCTTGTCGTTCATCTGCGACCTCTTGTTGCAAGGTACACCTCAGAACCTTAGCCCGATGCTCCAGCTCATTCTCGTCCGAGTCATAGTCCAGGCCTTGCTGATCCCACAATTTATCATCGCCAATATGCTCTGCAAAGGCATCCACTTCAACACCCGTGCCATGCAAAGGGAAACCGTACTTGTTAAGGAATAGCTGCGCAGAAGGTACCAGCTTGTCCACCCCCAAAGGCGTGAAACCAACCAACACCCAACGCTCCACCTCCGGCTTCATATAGGCATGCTCTCCCTTTGGGTCAAAGGCAATCGCCTTCTGGTTGATATTGAAAAGCTTCCCATCCAGAATCCTACCATCAGGAAGTTCTTTCTGTAGATCACGAACAAACCCACCTCCACGACACTTCCTGATCTGATCACCTTCAGAAACCCATAATCCACCAGATTGCGTTCCGCCAATCTCCACAGCAAAGTTGAGCGACCCCGGTTTGTTCCTTAAGTCACGGTGCGGAGGTATATCTGCAGCTCTAAACACCCCAATCGTGGTCCAGGCGGCCGTCTCCTGCAGGTCTTCGTCGACCTTGGATTTCAACACCACGTTTAGGTACTTGGTGAGCCATACTCGCTTCTTTCCTTCCGCTGATATTCCCCACAACCCACCATGAACATAAGCTCCCAGAATCATCGACGTAGCCTGTGAGCCTCTGTTCTTCGTCCTGATTTTCCCATCGAAACAAAGTTCTTGTAGAACTTCGCCACACGATTGCAGGTCAAACTTTTTCTCCTCGTAGTACTCTCGTGCCTTTCTTTCTTGTTGTTCAAGCAAAGGCAACACCGACCATTCACCTTCTTCAAGAACACACTCTTCCTCCTCCTGTGGAAGCCGTAGAGCTCGTAGTTCAGGAGGGGCCTGCTTGCCCTTAAGGCGATAGTCTGGTTCCGGGAGGTCAATTATTGCCTTCTCCTCTTGTGCCCCTTCATCAGCTTCCGGAGGATCCTGTAGTAGCCGTCGAGGATCAATCACACCAGATCGTAAATTCAACGTCTCCGTTAATACACCCGTGGGCCGCAACACAATCGCACCTCCCTTGATGGTGTCCGACAACCCCATATAGGTTCCCTGCTCCCATCTGTCCGTGAGGTCGTACTTCTTGTTGTTGCCGAAAACCTTCCTTCTTATCATAACTGAGGTCCCAAACGGTAGCAAAGGCGGCTTGTCCAACCCGAGCTTGTAGTAGATCTGGCGGTTCGACGCATGTTGCATAGCCAAGGTCCAATACTTCAAAGGTACCCCAGCTTCCGACAGCAACACCTTGGCTTTTGTCTTGAACCATCTCACTCCTCTTTCAGCCGCCCCATTGGTTTGCGGCACCAGTGCCTCCGACCGAGTATGGAAGATGTCCCTCTCCAAAAGCCACTTCCGAAGACCTTTCGACGTAAACTCAGACCCCCTGTCGCTGTGTAGTCTTGCCACCGGAAACCCCAGCAACTTCAACCTTAGCACGGCTTCTTGAACTGCTAGAAGTATATCTCCTCCTCGCCTGTTACGGACTGGATACACCATGTATATCGTCTCCATCTCCACTGGCTTTGTAAGGTCGCCAATTAGTGCTTCCCAAGATTTCTCGTCCCCCTCCAGCACCTCTTCCTCTTCAGCGACCTCAGCTTGGGATATCCGAAAAGTGGTAGTACCCGTCCAAGCCCTTTCCAAACTTCTAGCTCCAGACTTATACCCATGCCAATCGGAAGTTTCCATATCCACACCACCA